GTATAAAACTCCGTAATTAGCTTGGCTTGACACCCTTGGGTGCCAACTCCCAACTAGGGCCAAAGGATAGGGCCAAGGCTGCTCCATCAATTCATTATCAGTTAGATTATGTTTGAACAGAATTTAGTTCCGTGGTTACTGGTGCAATGCGAAGTAGGATAATTGTGTCCGGGCATCTACTATAATCATCAGATATCCAAGTGACAGTTTAAATGATGTTGAAATATACAAATGACAAAACTTCAGAAACGAATCTCAACACTGTTATTTTCTTAGTTTGTTGGCAGATCTACTTTTGTTTTGGTGTCGATGATACTTGTCATTGGTCGCCCTTGAATTGTTGTACTGTGCATACACATTCCATACCAATAGCTTTGTTTAAGGAATGATGGTTGATTGTTTAACTAAGTTAAGTAGTAGGATGTCGATCGATTATCGAATATACATAATAACAGATCTAAGCAACTCGTAAAACATAGGAATGCCGATCACCGCATCCCACCCCACATTGTTCACTGCAACAAAAGAACGAACACTTCGTAAGACATAACTCTTCTAGTCGTTTAAGTGCAAACATGTGAAACCGCAATGCGTAGGTCTATATATATATTTATGCTCCATAAAGATACAGGGACACGATCAGATATTTAAAGAACTTGTCAACCATATCGAGAGGTAATAAAAACCTATGATAATATAATTTGCCATCATATTTTAGGTTCCCAAGTTACACTAACATGTAACCAGGAAACATTTCCTACAGAGTCATCAGTATCAGTCATACCAATTTCATCAAGACCGGACGGAGAATTTACAACTACGTCAAACAACAGTTCTACCGCCGATACTACAACAATGCCAACTACACCTCAGTCGCTTATTTCAACAAGTATGGAATATTTATGTTCAGTAAAGTATATTGGAATTGATTGTTCCACTAGACATTCTTCCATTGTCTACTCGACCTAAACACGTCTGTTTGTCTGACAGTATATTTCAAATATAGAAGCAAAATAAAGTTAAAAATCGAACTCTAGAATTAAAAACTGTAGTAAATCACTTCTCATCCGTAACCTATCAAACATGTGTTCATAGATCTTGTAGCCGACTTGCTCACAGCCACACGATACTGTGTTATTTGCCGAGATAAACTGGCGGCAACAGCATTAAGGGATGTTGTCTACTGTGCCTTTATTCTATATACAAACCGTGGTTTTAATCGTGAAGTAATCGTGGTGATCCTATCAGGTCTTATCATATATTGTGGTCAGTCGAAGCAATCGTGTTGATCATATCGAAACGTATCGGAACGTATCTGCACTTACCAGATCGAGGACTCAATAGAGACAATCCTATCGTAACGCATCGCACGACAGTGGAAACCTAGCATTACCGTGTAGAAACAAGGCTTAGATGGCATACATATCCCAGCGTAATCATTACGTTGCACGATTTCCAGCTATGGACAAACAATCTATCGACACATGGATACATGATGCATTTAAACCAGTTAAAAATTGTTCTATTTCGCGGGCGGTTTTATATTTGCAAACGTTTGTTCTATTAATCTTACTGAATATCCAGTACTCAGGTACGACGTCCAAACTATTTTTTTGTATTTGTCTTATTAATCTATTGGATCATCTGACTTATGATTTAGTTAGAACCACTGAGTGTACTATATTGTATCGATTTATTTTACAGTAAAAGATTTGATACCATGGATATTATTTGGTGCAGCTTTGTTAGTCAACATTATTTTCACAGTATGGTAAGTAACGAGACTTCCTATAAATAGTTGGTGTCGCTGTGTAGGGTTTTTGTGGGGTTTTTTTTTTTGGGGGGGGGGGGCTACATGTTACCCATAACCATAAAGGGCCATGACGGCTCCTATTACAAATTTCCCACCCGTTAAGATTATTCCTGGCAGTGTTTGCATCCTAGTTACATAAGGACTAGTTAATCTGCATAAAACAGTTAGTAGGCCTTCATTAGGTACAGTAGTGCCCTTCGGTGCGTTAATTAAACCAAAATTATTTATGAACTAGATTTGGGAATTGAAATGAATTCGGAATTATCGTACATTTTCTGCAACAAACTAGGCTAATGGAGGCTGGCATGCGTCGTGTAGTATTATGAATGACATTTTGCCGGACAGCTATGCACGGGACTTTGATTTTTAGTCTGGTCTGTCAATTGTACAATCCCGATAAAGATTCTCTATAAACATTGGGTTCGATACCAAAAGCGCCTGGTTAGGTGGCCACCTGTTGGCTTTATTGTAGACTTAAAAGTCAGTTGTATGAAATGATATTCTGTAAAAATCTTCGACCATACACAATTATCTTGTAAATAGTCTCAGTATTGAATATATCCTTTAAATAAACATCTGTTTATATTCAGCTGCATTGGAATGAAATGTTGTAAAAGACAAGTTGGTAAGAAAGAAAATCCGGGAAACAATGGCGATGAGTTGGTTACTGTTACTAATAGCAACCTTCATCTTGTTCGTCATTGTAATACAATTAATAACTCGACCAATCACAACGACGAAAATAGAACAAGTCACCTAGACAGTTCTGCAGATCTGCATGATAACCAGTACCTGGCTCTATCGAATGACGTCAATGTTGCGCATGACATCAATGAATCCGAATACACGGAACTTAAATATCTGTAGTAATATTATGATAATATCAAAATGAATCAGTAAACCCCACGTGGTCCGGTCATACTACATACATAATAGCCATATCCCGTTAGAATCATTGTTTACATTTTATCTTGCCATATATTACTGTATAAAGATATAGATGAAATACAAATGTAAAAACACACACATAGATAGCAGTTGCTCTAAATAAGTTTATATCAACATAACAATGCACAGTAAATAATATGAACAGTAAGATAATTTATTAAATGTTCCTAGTTCTATGATTTATCTTCGACCTGCGACATCACTGACTCAACGATGTCAGATAGATCTCAGCATTGGTAAATTGTAATGTTTTTATTAGACGGTGATATAGGATGTTGCAATATTGGTACATAAGTTTTGTTTTTAGAGGGGGGTTGGATGGCCGAATGGTTAGCACGTGCGCGCTGTATCATACGGTCTGTCATTGAGTGAACTTGTACTTGACAAGGAGTAGGGTCGCCTGTCCAACCTCGTAGGTTTTCCCTGGGTCCTCCGGTTTCCTCCCACTGCTAAAGACCCCTACGGGCAAGCGAATTATTGAATTAAAATTGAACCATGTGTTAGTCCCGAAATGACCTAGTTTGTGCAGAGTGGCCGTTAAACTCCACCTCTCTCTCTCTCACTCTCTCTCTCTTTACAATAAATCAGTGGCATTTAACAGTTACGATGTCTGACTAGTTTTAGAAAAACAATATGTTCGAGGGTGTTGATCATCATAATAAAGGGGTACTGACGTCATATTGTGTCCGTGGAGAAGAAACACAACTTGGAGCAAAGTATTAACGAAGAACATGGCTGGTTACCCTTCTTGATACAATGTATATAGTGCAACATACGGCTGTGTTACAAGGGTCATACAATTATCAAAGCCATTTTGGCGAAAAGTGACACGGCCTATTTTAAAGCACAAAAGAAAATTAAAGCGGGGTACTGAAGAAGGCATACCCCACGCAGCGTGCTTGGAGAAATTACTGACCTACCATTCATCGAATTCCGCTAATGGTTTGTGTGTGTGTACGCCGATGAGTACTTGTGACATCAGTGTTTATTCCACCCAAACGACTAGTCACTGTACCTTACAACATTCACAAAGAATATCTGAGATGGGAATTCCTAGGTCCTCGTCCAACACAGGTATCGAGCCAGGAAGATCCAGTTTAGTGAACCAGTGTCTTAAGCTCTTCTTCATCGTGACGCAGAGATTTCGAGGGTGATAAATAGAATATAAATGGCCGGAACAGTATTCAAAATAAATAAAAGGAAATGAAATGGGGGGTTTAACGTCCTACTGTTCTGCCTTCCAAATACAACGGCCTCACTATCTGAATGATATTAAATGTATGTTATTCAGTTTTTTTGTTAGGATCCAAAGAAAGTTCCTTAAGCTATGACAAAAGCTTTGCGGCTAAAAGTCGATATCTATTATCAGCTTCTGCAGAAATCGGTATTATTGAAGGAGTACTCTTGCTTTTAGGGTTTTACACATAAAATGATTATACTGTACTCGGATATTTATAAAATAACAGGCGAAGTATCATTTTACAAAACGTGACATGGAAAGTGACGTATTGTTCATGTCTTCGTATTAGTTAAATTACAATCTACCTTACTAGCTACGTGAAATGAAATGGGGTTTAACGTCCTACTGTTCTGCTCCTAAACTGGGCTAATGAAGACGGGCATGCGCCATACAATTTTGCCCGGGCTGCGGCACTACGGCCTGCTCTTATATCGAATTCCAACTGCCAAGGGATCTTTTACGTGCACGCCAATCTGTACACAGGACCTCGGTTTTTCGTCCCATCCGAACGACTAGACAGCTGTCCTTGTCAGGCCCTCCGCCCTGCATCACTGACAAGGTGAAACCCCACGCTAGAATATCTGGATGAACTTTCTCGGCCAATGCAGGGATCGAACACCCGACCTCCAGGGTAGCAAGCCAGCGTCTTACCCACTTAGCCACGTGACCCCATACTAGCTACGTAATAACCTACATATAATTATACAGTATAGAATATAGTTTTTGTTATAATCCACGGTGAAATATAAGTGTCTATTTTACAAAACCAGTGTACCGTAGTTTACTTCCTCGTCTGGACAACTAATATATTGTTGCATCTACCCCAGTTATATGAAACATACAGGTGTGTGTGTGTGTGTGTGTGAATACCACCTCCCTGTCTATATCTAGGTTATATTTCAAATACATATTATTAACACTACAAGTATATATGAATATCTGTCACTTTCAACAGGTATATATGAATACCTTTCTTTGTCAACAGGGATATCGTTCTCACCTTAATGTGTTCGTGTATTATAAATTTAGCGGTGTGTGACTTTCTTAACATATATCACATATATATCAATTATGCATATTATAATGTGGTGACGTAATCATAGGTGGAAATATGTGAACATTAGGTATATTGATAGAACCAAGTGATTCACTAGTGAATACAAGGGAAAATCGCACGACTTAGAACACAGAAATGAAATGATGTTTAACGTTTAAGACAGTATGTGTATGTGAACATTTCGGGAAGATATATTTATAAGACTAGAAATATGTACTAAGTGCATATGTGTGAGTGACGATCGTGAGCCTATGTGTATATTAAGTAATAATAGGAATATGGTGACCAAAAATTTACTTTAAATATACCGTGAAATATACTGTATTAATAGAATATTAACAATCCATATAGTATGCACCAGCATCACATAATCAATGACCACGGTTCCAATGAATAGACAATGTGATTTACTGATTTACAACGAAGGGACGATAGTGTGCATGTTAAATTTTGTGCACTGTTGGTTTATAATTTCAATTTATTGTAAACGGTTTTACTCGCTACATTAAAAGGCGATCTCGTACCTTTCCCCGCTTACGTGCTGTTAACATATCATCTTGTTATTGATGTACCTCAGACAGCATGGCTGCTATATTTGTAATATTGATACAATTGTTGTTTTACACTGAAGGTAAGTCTGAATATTATTGCGCCCTATCATATCTGTAGCTATTGAATTAACTCGACTTCTTCGGTATGCGCAGCCTGGTTGGTTCTAATTTAGATGATATTTAAAGCTATAGGCCATAGGGTGAAAAGGGATGTTTAACGTCCGCCCGACACAACGTAGGTCTTTTCGGGACAAATCTTAAGTTACAAAGTACCACCATGGAACGTTTATAGAGGGACAGGCAACATCCACGAAGCCTTTGGAATTCTATGCCGCGGCAAAAAGCAGACCTGACAATCGTGACTAAAATAAAATTACCTCCCCTGGCACAATTACCAGTATTAAGTTTAAAAGCAAAGAAATATAAATCCGTTCATAATATTTTTTATTAATCTTGCTACTCTTTTTTTCAACTCAAATGTGTTAATGTATCAAAACATCGTCTTTGTCTACTTCGGACTTCGGACACGCCCATGTGAATCCGAAAACAAAAATGTCGAGATTTCGCTAAAGTAAACCTACTAAAACACTCTTTAAATTTTTACTTCTACACAATTAATCATTATTCCGGGCATTATTATACCTAAACTTTATTTTCATAATTTTAAAATCCTTCATACATACGGGAATTTGGATTATTAAGCACAACCAAAATGCTTAAAAAAACTATGAAAATATTGAAATCGACCATTTCACAATTTTCAACTGTTGCAATTTCAAAGTTCTAAACTGGAGAAATTCGTCACTACAGGATGAGAAATACTTATCGGGTTGAACAATTACCGTGAGAGTGAAGTAATTTGAATTAAATTTTCAATATTTTCTTTTTTTACAATGTACACAATGTAGTAGCAGGTCCGTTATGATGATTTTAAAAGATAGCGGATTGAGACTGAAACAAAGACAATGTCTGGGCCCGATTCCTAGAAAATTCTTAAGCACGTTCTTGTGCTTAGATTTAAGTAGACTTTGCATTTAAGTAAACTAACCTTATTTTGTGTTCCCAGGAAATTCTTAAGAACGTTCATGTCCTTAGACTTCATTGTAAGCACAAGAACGTTATTGTGCGTTCCAAGAAAAAAACTTAAGCACAACTTCGTTCTTAAACATAGTCAATCTAAGCACAAGTCCCAAGCAAGGTATGCGGCTTGCTTACTAACCTTAAGTCTGTTTCCACTTCAAAAAGATGGCTGACCGTAGAGTTATTTGACGACATTTCCGACACCTTTTGATACCAAAGAGACAATTACAAGACAGAGAAAATCCACCTCCAGAAGAAATTAAGAATACCGGTACTATAGAAAATTTCGCTTCTACCCTGAAACCATTTTATTTATTTGCCAATTAGTAAACAATAGGCAACAAACACACGGGCTGCTTAAGATCAGGCGCTCTCACAATTATTCAGTTAGTTTATATGAGTCTGCGTTATTTTTATCTTGTGGCACATTTTATATGTGTATAGGGGACACGCCAAATGCATCTAAATCACCCGTATGACTTCAATGAAGCAGACGACAAATTAATGACGTGATTCGCATACCAAAGTTGTTTTTGTGACGTTAAAGAGCATCGTAGTCTCAGTTTATGGTAAACTTTACCAGTCACAATGTGCTTAGACTTATACTTAACTTGTGCTTACGTAAGAATGGTCTTGAGAATTTTCTAGGGACGGTATTTTTATAAGTTTCTTACGTAAGAAAAAGTGAAGCATGACTTTGTGCTTATTTTAAGAATATTCTAGGAACCGGGCCCTGAAGTTAGCTGCGGATTGACAACAGTATTGATTACATGTTCTTGTATTCGTATATAAATTACAAATATATAATGATCATTGCTGACCCAAGCGTGCCACCAATGATTTACAATTAATTTCTTGTCTTACCTGTTGTGTTTTAATCGGTAATATTTAGTCGGGTAAAAATATAAACAATGTATCGTCAACGCCAGACCTTTCGGATTCTAAAGTGTAGGAACTGACACAATTTCTATGAATTTCTCAAATGATAGATGAATAAGCAACACTGAATGATTTGTACAATCCAGCTTAAAAGTCAAAGGTCCTTGCGTATTACTAATATGTTGTTTTTTATCGCGATAATACATTGTTCAAATAATAAAGATTACAATATCCATCATTTTCTAAAACTGCAATTGAAATCTATTGAAAGTGATTTTTTTAAAAACATCTAGGAAAATAACTGTTCCGCCAACGGATGCGTACTATTATAATTTATCATAAATTATAGTCATACTATTTTCTTGCGTTACAATATGATATTTCGACAAACTTTTTCCTAATAATGAATGGAGCCATGGTGGCTAAGAGGGTAAGACTCTGCCTCGTTAGCCTGGAGTGCACGTAAAACTTCCCTTGGCAGTTGGAAGTCGATATAATGAAATGAAATGAAATGGGGTTTAACGTCCTACTGTTCTGCTCCTATGCTGGGCTAATGAAGACGGGCATACGCCATTCAGTGTGTTATGAGGGAAATTTTGCCTGGGCAGCGGCACTATCACCTACTCTTATATCGAATTCCAACTGCCAAGGGATCTTTTACGTGCATTCCAATGTATACACGGGACCTCGGTTTTTCGTCTCATCCGAAGGACTAGACAGCTGTCCTTGTCAGGCCCTCCGCCCTGCATCACTGACAAGGGGGAACCACGCCGGAAAATCTGGATGAACTTTCTCGGCCAATGCAGGGATCGAACACCCGACCTCCAGGATAGCGAGCCAGCGTCTTACCCAAAATTCGATATAAGAGTAGGCATAGTGCCGTTGCCCGGGCACAATTTCCCTCATAGCACACTGTATGGCGTAAGCCCGTCTTCATTAGCCCAGTCGGAGCAGAACAGTATGCCGTTAAACCCCATTTCATTTCATTCCTAGTAATGACAACTAAGATTTTAATAGAGTATAGTGGTGCTCTTAAGGCGACATACCTTGCGTGCAGCGTGAGTAATTCATGATTTTTGGCAGTGGACGGTATTCTATACTTAAATATTTATGCTTTTTGGCTATTTTCCATATTTTAAGTGTGCAGTTAAGTTTTTCAAATAGCCAAGTATATTTAAAATAGAGCCTTTGAATATCAATTTAAGGTAATACACTTGGTTAAGTGGCAATAATAAGTATTTAAGAAAACCTTTTAATACGGACCCTGACTTACAAATCACCGCATAAAATCCTTAAATGCTATTTTTTCCCGAATCCGAGGTAAACGAAAGTGTCACTGAAAGAGTATTAGCATGGAAACGCCATGGTTTTTATTTTTCGTATTTTCCCTTTTGTGATTACAGACTACGCGTCGTAACAGTTTAATGAAAGTTTGATATTCATTTCAATATTGAGAAGGTAGGAGAAGACAAAACCTATCCATCCTCCCTCCCCGCCCTATGTTTGGATGACACCGCGTTTATAAGGACAAGGCACACAGTCATTATTGTTTTAACAGTTACAATCCCAAAGCATCGACATTTGTGTTTAATTGATCGTTTCAGCACGAACGATTTAAACAATCACACGGTTTCTAGGTTATAGCTGTCAAACAATGATGCATTGAAAACCACAAATATGTAAACTAAACATCTAATTTTCCAATTTTACTGAAAGTGTAGCAATATACCGTCGTTCGAATATGTAAAGCGGCGCAACCAAATGGTTTACCACATCCGACGTCTGATATATTCTCTGCTACACATCAATTGTTAGCCGACGATCTTCTAGGTATACTATTGAATTTATCTACTCGGATAGGGGTCTATTGAATCCATGGTGTCTCTTGGACCTCAACGGCCAATGCGTGTCTGATCTCTAAAGCATCTCGACAACAAAGTCGTAAATGTATTCTGCTAGGGTGTTCTAATCAAAGTTCTTCAAAAAAAGTGTTTATATTAAAGTAGCTAAGTCTCTTAACTCAATATCATCCAAAATCATCGACATTGAAAACACGAATTATTTTTCAGTTTAAATCAACATTGATGTTGTGATCCAACCGGAAAAAGAAGGGCTTCTGATATCCATTATTTAAGACAAAATAAACATTTTACCATTGGTACGCGAATCGTGTACCATAATGCGTTTCAGCGCCATTTGTAACAAGGGACTCGAAAAACGAGGCTAGGCATATTCCACAAGTCATGTCAAACGGTGACCCCATGTTCTTATCTGGAGAGCATGCGCAATAAATACTATAGATGTAGACTGGAATAACCAGACGCTAGAGATTGACATTTGATTGAGACTTCTGGCGTATTTCGCCGAACTTAACGGATTAGAAATTACAGTAAAAACAGAAACGATTTGATGTAAATCAGTTTATATGGATTCATATTACATTATCATATGCGTTGCGACCCATTTATATCTATTTCTAGGTCCTAAATATGAGCGATCCAGCCCCTTTAAACAGTATACAAGCATACGTCTTCATAAAACTCAAAAATAACATTATCTCTCGGTCTATGTCAACCCCACCAGAGCGAGCAAGCTGCTGGACACGTTACATCCTAAAGAATCTTAGCAGGTCTCGAGATTGTCACACTATTCCTGGTCTTTTGTTATAAAGTAGCTTATTGGTTTGAAAGGGTTTGTTTATATAACCAAACAGGTAAATGGACAGTCTGTGTATTTTGTTAATATATCAAAATATCATCTATTTCCGTAGTAATAAATCTTTATCTATTAAAACCTGTTTACGAATTTGAAAGCAATATTACGTTGAGGCAATAATGTTACTACGATATGCAGGGTTACAAAAATGGATACTTTAGCAACAATTCTAATGTTGTTTGAAACTACTGTAATTAAAGTAAGTAGCGATCAAAATGGTCATGTAGCAGACAGAAATTCCAAATAGCGTATAAAGATCAACTCCCCCGATGTGTACACAAAACTATTTCATTTTCTTCCCCTCCCCCAAAACTCCACACTGTAAATTGATCGATAAATGCAAGAGGACTATTACATTTTTTTTTTAAAGAAAAAAACTTCTTTAAGATAAATATTTATTTTTATATTTCAGTAATGAATAATCCATGTCCATCTGATGAAAATACTGGTAAGATCCAAATATGAAATGAATCTAACAGTAGTATGAGTATAAACAAATCGAAATGATATACAATGAACACAATTCTTACCAGGGAATATGTAATATCATATTATGATATGATATTTATAAGGCCCAATGTAACAATGTGCGTCGCTGATTAGATGTGGAAAGCGCAAACTCTTAACAAAAAATCACCACATCCAACATGTGAATTTATTAGCCGGTGATCGTCTAGATTTTGTCTCTGGTGATAATTTGTAATTATTTTCCCGTGTATTTATTTTTATCAGCTGCTAAGGTGTTTGTCTACCAGGAACAACAATACAACAGTTCGTTTCTAAATTTATATGGAGTCTGCTGTTAGAAATACTACAGTAGGACGTTAAACAACATATCATTTCATTTCATTTATAAATACCACATGGTATCTACTCTCTGAAGAATCCAATGCGTGTCTACCCCCAGAACGCAAGTTTCGCTCGTTATATATACCCAGAGTGTTTTGGACTATACCAAACTAGCCTTTACTGTTCCACTGTACTTAAGCAATATATATCTTGTCAATGAACTAGACACATGACTGGTGTATTTATCAAATTTAGCTCATTTGGTCAAGGGAATACTATTAATACAATGTTCATATTCGCATAGGCGTACGGGGAAATTTTTGACTAGGGGGGGGGGGGGGTTGGTGCCCAAAAAATGTAGTTCGGTTCATAGTATGTTACATAATAATAATGAATTCGCTGTTAAATTGGACACATTCAAGAACACAATGTTTTTTTATACAACTTTTACAAAGTATGCATATTCGCCTAACGTTATTTCGCATAAATCACCCAATATTATTACACCAAGGATACAACTAATCACCATTCGCGATATTTGTCCAATATTGAAAATATTTAAATGATTTATGTTGATTTAATTTATGGGATGGCAATTTGTCTTTGTTCAAAATGTTAAATACATGTATATAGATAAAATCATCGGTTTTGTGTTCTACTGCATAAAGTGAAAGTTAATTGAGTAAACAGGCTAACTTCTGCTTTGTTTTTCGAAAAAGTATAGAGCTTGCCCCATCAACAATGGAACTAACATTAGATCAACCTAATTCAAAGGATAAGCTTGTTTAAAGGGTGGCAGTTTCGTATCCCGGCATGGGCTGAGAAGAGCCTCCTGCATTTTTTAGGATGTGTTTTCGCGGTTGGTTAACGAAACTGCACTAATACACTACTGTATCCTGTTAGGTTATATGAAAGATCATTGTGTACAGTTTGGTGTTTTAATAGCTTTAAATTATCAAGTAGATTGGGTAGATTGTATTATATAATTCATTGTAGCCCAAAATGGAAATTTCTTGAATTCTGATTGGTCGAAAAGTGGCGTCGAATGAGTATAACAGTCCTCTAAATTTCCTGGGCGACTCACTGCGAATGAATATTTTCTGGGTGCTAGACTCTGTTTGCAGTGGCCAAAAATTCTACACCTCAAAACTTTATTCTTGGAAATCTTCATGAATTTTTTCTTGTATGTCATCAACAATGAAATTTAACCATTGGCTTATTGAAACACTCAACTGAAACACATAAAAAAACAAAGTTAGTGAGTGTATTTGAAGCATAATAAGTAAATTTAATTTCAAGGCTGGTCTGACAATAACGGTTGCTATGGTCATTCTATCATAATCAGACTGGTCAAAATCGAAGATTTTCAACAAGTGAATAAAAATACTACAATTTATTGAACTCCGTATGGATTGTAATATATTTTAAAAAATATACAAGTCGGGCTGATACTGATATGAATAGGACAGAGACTAATTTTCATACATAGGCCATGTTTTTTTCCGAAGAAAAACAATCACATTCACAGCGTCGAAATGACAACGTAAACATGCATAGCAACCACATGCGTACGCTACACAGCATATATCTACACGGTCACACGAGTGTATGGACATTTATCAAACACGATATGCAATTTGTTTCGAACCTAGTCACTGCTGGAGTTCAAAATCATTTAAAAAGTACATAAAATACACTAACGATTTCTGTTTCGATCTTTAAAATTATCGCAGAGTGATCTCCCTTTCCAAACAGACACAATTAACCAGTCGCTTAGTGAACCAAATAGAATGGAAATGAGTGTTATTTTATTACGTCACGAATATTTTCATTACGTCAAAATTGTTTTCCTTGGTATTTACGTCATTAAAACCAAAAAACGACCGTCAACTATCGCGAAAGAAAGAATTCCAAGAAAAATGTTAAATATTTTGGGCTACAATATCGATAAACACCTCCTGTTTAGAATTTATCGGACTGTTATTGTCCATTTGATACCGCTTAAATTTTTCATTAGAGGCGCTCGATCGCTACGCGATCTCGGCCTCTAATGATTTAAGCGGTATCAAATGGACAATAACAGTCCGATAAATTCTAAACAGTCGGTGTTTATCTCCTAATTAAAGTTATCTAATGGTTTCAGTACATGCATGTACCAACAGTACACGTAATTATAGAAAGATGAATATACCTGTTAATGACAGTATCGGTGATGGTTGTATCTGTGACGTCACGTTGACCAAAACAAACTCAAATGGCCAAGACACGGTTCAAGTATCCAAAGGAGACATTGGGAAAAGGTGTGGATATCAAGTGGTTAATTATAACATATCACTCAATTATAGCTGGACGTGTTCTAATGATGAGATAACCAACTTTCCGCTGCGTTTAAATGAATCTTTCCAGTTAACATTTACAAGAAATTCAACATCAAACAAAACATCTACAGGATTCTGTTTATGTTTAAAAGCTCTCCAAAACGGCAAGTACTGTAAATTATGTCAAATGAATGATTGGCTACACTGGGCTAGAATTTGAGATGATTGTCCGTTGGCCCATTAAATTGCTTTGAGCCTGTCAGAACTCTCTTTAATATCAGCCTTTGACGATATTCCTGTTCCGAAATTCGAGGGGTGTTATTGTGCATCAGACATGTCCTGAGAACATTAGGACCCAATGCGCTTAAGATTAACCCTTCGGTTATTGCACAATGGAAGAAAGGGCTGCATGAAAAGCTTACACATTAAACAGCTTAACATGCTCTATCGAAAGCTGTTCTTTCTTCACGACGTTCTGTTTTGCTTTTGTCTTTTTGTGGGTTGTGCATTATATCCCATGCTCGCAAAGTATTGTGTGTTCTGTTTGCTGGACAGTTGTGAAATTTATATAAGGACGGCCTGTGCCTTTCGTGAATATTCTTGGTTTCTATTCTAGATACTGCAGTCATGGTTACCTGTTGGGGTAGAGATACTACATTAAACACAACTAACAAGTCAATGAAAAAGGAAACACGGACACTAAACGCCGCATTGCCAGGTAAAAATATAAATGTGTAAAGTAAGGAAACCAATGAACATATTATCTAGTAAAGTGGCGTTGTCTAAACACTGCAATTTTATAAATGTAAAGTCTGTCGGTTACCACTCATTTCAACCATTCATTGGCCATTGCTACATTTACTATAGTAAAGTGACGTTTCTGATTAGTTATCTTCGCCCGATTCTGGATGGGGGCTGTATGGCCAGGTCGTGGCTCTTCTATGTTTGTGACTTGATACGGTTAGACTACACATTCATGAAACAATGATTACCAGCATAATAAGCTCATTAGCCATTGTTGGGCTTGTTATGGCATAATCACATTGCGAATTAGCTTGCGTGCTATCGTCACTTGGTTCAGGTTTGATGATGGAGATAAATTACATTTACTCGGATTGAAATGAACTACACATTTCCAAAAGGTTTAAACGATGGCTGTTTACTAGAAGTGTGAAGTAAAGCCTATCGACGATTCTGATTATTCGCCCAGAGAACATAGTAGACGCCGATCAATGAAGACTATCGCGCGTAATTGCTACATGGGGTAACAGTTAAGAATCTGGTTATGTTGGTTGATGAAAAACGCGTCATGCAATTTCTCATTGTTTGATAGTCATTCATACTATTTCCAACATTAGTTTCGGATGATAATAGTGCATGCCTTCAAACGTTGCCAGTAACTATATTTGCTTTTATTAATTTGATAATTTCACATAGTATTATCTCCATTTTCCGTTTTTCTCTTTATGGATTCTTGATCATCACCTATATTTGTAGATGCTGTTATAATTGGTGGAGCTGCCGGTGGTGCATGTCTGTTATTAGTTCTAGCTATAGTAGTTGTTGTATGGTAAGTGAGAATATCGAATTGTTAGTTAAAAATACGTTGTCTCCTTTATACATAATTTCTGTTCAACGTATGCAATTGTAGCGAGAATGTCTCATTATAGTTAATATCTGTATAGTTACATACTTATATAACGAGTCCTTCTATCATATTTCCAGCTTAGTCAAAAGAAGAAAGAACAAAAACTACGACAAACCATTTCCTAAAGAAACAGGAGAAACCTGTTATGAAAACATTCACCATGACGAACCTACCAGTATGGATAATGATTTACATGTTAGCACCGATAATACCAACAGTAGCGACAGAGATTCAAAGGGAAACAAACCATCAACTGATATGATCTATCTGGAGAATGATATGTATGTTAGTTGTGACTCCGTTACCACCGCAGCTAAGTTTTCCCCGAGCAGACAAGGTGATGTTAGTGTTCATACCGTTCCAAACCATTCCAGTCCAACCAAACGTTCTCCTAGCAGCCCAGACTATACCGATATTGATGACTTTCCTGGACAAAAACAGGATAAACTACAAGAACAATCCACAAGTAACACGACGAAAGATTTTGTCGTGGACAAGAATCAGAATGTTAATAATGTTTACGCTGTGGTCAACAAAAAAACAAAGAGTAAACCGACAGATGCTTCACCTGGTAAATCCAAAACCCAAATTGATGAAATTCCATCTCAAACCTTTTCCGTGGTTCAAAGTCCTAATCCTAATAACGTTTACGCCGTAGTGAACAATAGGCCGAAAGTGGCGAATAAAACACCTTATCCGACAAAACCAGTAAAGCCCGTTAAACCGCTTGTAGCATCGAAACCTAAAATCTGAATGCAAGAAAGTTACAACATAAGACTGTTGATAATAGCAGTTGATTTTCTAGCTGAAATATACTCCAGTCACTATAAGTGTTTTCCCAAAAAAATCGGATTGTCTAGCAGGCTATGCCTATCTTCTGTGGAACGCCTTGTGTCACTCTTCAAACGGTATTGACCTTCTAAGATCATGGGTTGATTATGTCCGAACTTCTTCATACCACGTTGACATTCTATCACAGTGGCGACTTTAAAATTGTTTAGGACTCAGTGTGTTTTTATGACTAAGGAGTGTCATACAATGTTCTGTTGTATATGTGTATATTTATCTATGGAACAAAGATCAGAATGTTGAACAACACAAACTAATCTATTATGAAAAACATTTTCTTCCCAGAGGACTATTAACGTCTTATATATATGTAAGACAAAAAAGTTTTGATAGCACAATGGCTAAATAATTATTACTAAATGTATGATTTTTGTTTGTACTTTTATTCAAGTTTGTGTTATTTTTATACAGATCTATCGTACTTTGTCCTAGATAATTTTTCCTAGCTGGTCTGTCGTTTCGTATATTTCTATAGGGATCTAACAGTGATTTCAGGACTAATACAATTGTTCGGTAATCAGTGGGCATTAACTATTGGGGGCACCAATAAGCATCACCGACAATCGGTGTAGCTAATCACTAAGCAATACAATAATAGAGTACTTGTTTGTAACTCTGTGTTCTTTATCGAGGACCTGGGGAGGAACAGCGAAAACGGCAGTTCTGTTTACATGATTACGTACACGTAAATGAACACTTTGCAGTTGGAATCTAGTGACCGCGCACTATTCTCCTACATGGTATATGTCAGTCTGTATTAGTCCTCTTGGTACATAAATATAGGACGTTAAAACCCATTTCAATTCAGATCAGTTTCCATATGAAGAATGATGATGAAATGCTTCTTATATAAAGGTTGTGCCAATCACCAATTGGTACATTCATGGACCGTATATACATGGACCGTTTCGTATTGCTTTAAATTATAACAATATTAATCTACATTATGATTCGGGTTAGATATAGATGTAAAAGTGAGATATATTGTGTTATTATCAGCGCTGAACATTTGCCAAAACACTAACTATGAGTTATGCTTTTGACTAAACCACCTAACAGTGTTATTGTAATAAAAGGACCCGTATAATAAAACATATTTTATTCTTGTTTTGTTTCAACCCATTGCATTGTAATAGAACAGTCGTGTTGTTTAAATGACCTGTATTATAATAAGCTAACATTTAGGTTCTCTATATATTTGATTTAATTTGATTTTATAATAATACGTCTTTTATTTTCGTTTTGTCAACTCATTGGGTTGTAATACACAAAATGTCTTATTATTTAAATGACCTGTATTATAATAAACCTTACATTTATTCCAACTTATAAGGCTACTGGATATCTGTATATTTGATTTCATAAGTCCTGTCCTTAGAGACGCAAACTAGGGCATTTCGGGACTGAGATAAGGTTCTGTTGTATTTCAATAATTCACTTGCACGTATCGGTCTTTAGCAGTGAGAGGAAACTGAACGACCCGTAGAAAACTCACGAGGTTGGACAGGCGATCCTACACTTTGTCATGTAAACTGGGGAATTCAAACCACACCACTTGACTCAATGATAGACCTTGTTATGAGTTCACGCCCTCGCGTTAACCATTCCTCCGCCACCCATCCCCCAGCTACAGGCGAAAATAAAAATCCACAACCGACGAGAGAACAAAGCCCACCACACAGGGATGGACCCAGGGAGGTGGAGGGATGGACACAGACAGCCAATAAGCCTGCTATCCGACGCTGAGTCGAAACGAACCGCGAGGAAATGAACATTAGCAACTACTAGTACAAACTGCCCAATCCGTCCCAACAAATAACACAAGTATCGCACTACTGGTTCTAGGGCTCCACTTTGCAACACCAATAGCCACAATCTGTAGATTCTATATGAAAATGAAGTCAATCTTCCCAGTGGCCTCTATTTATCACATAGCCGCATTAAGAACAGGTCTCATGTTGTCCTAATCGTAAATTTCATGGGACAAATACTGTTGGAACTAAACGTTTACCATGCTACACTGCGAATCTTGTTTGTATTGTAACAAGATACATATTGAAAAAGCTGGTGCTTGGTGGTGACTGCCATTGGAGCTTTGCCTTTGTCGTCGGCCCTACGGCTGAAAGCCTCTAAGCCAGAATCCCATTCCACGACGTCCGCGTCTGCCTCTCGTTAACCTGCAGCGGAACGATTAGGCCCCAGCTGGCCCTCCCGGGGTGGTGTGTGTCCGACCTGTGTGTTTCGGCAGGTGTCTTTCGAAGGCAAGTAAATCTGCTTGCAAGCGACTCGTGTTTGTGCGAGTCGCGGTCTCGTACTCAGTCGAGCGGCCTGTTGTGGCTGCGAGGCGTTGAGACTTTTCCCTCGACTAGGAGATTCGTTCGCTGTAGACGGACACGCCTCTTGCAACACCACAAGAGATTTACCCGCAAAAGACGGGTATGGCACTACGCGGCGCACGGGTCGGGAGAAGTTTGGAGAGAGAGAGAGAGCGAGAGCGCAGACAAAATACGTCCGTAAAACTAAATATATGTAAAGAAAAACACAGCTATGAAATGAAATGGGGTTTTACGTACTACTGTGCTGCTCCTAACCTGGGCTAATGAAGACGGGCATACGACCATACAGTGTGCTATGAGGGGAATTTTGCCCGGGCAGCGGCGCTATGGCCTACTCTTATATCGAATTCCAACTGCCAAGGGATCTTTTACGTGCACGCCAATGTGTACACGGGACCTCGGTTTTTCGTCCCATCCGAACGACTAGACAGCTGTCCTTGTCAGACCCTCCATTCTGCATCACTGACAAGGGGTAACCACGCCGACACAGATATAAACTTACGTCGTACATTATTGCAGTGTTTCGAATTTCATCAGTCCAATGGCTGGCTTCTTTAGTGGGAAATTTTGTGTGTGTGCCGTTCAAAATTTCGTGGCACACTTTGGAAGATCTTGCGGCACACTGGTTGAGAATCACTGCTCTCAATAATACAACCAATCCCGTTGCAACTGACCTCATAGATACTGTGACAAAGGTCAAAATGTGAAATTCTGATAATTACATTTGATATTCTTTAAAGATTAAGTATATTGTATAATGAGCCTTCTAATTATAGCCAATTAAATGATATTGCAGAAGTGACACGGTGATGTCATATTGAGAGCGTGACGTCAGGGCAACCTTTTCCTACTCCCCAGCCGAATTACTGGAAATTATAATCAACTATAGATATGATCGAGAATGGCATCATCCCAGATAGCGTCTGATTCGTCTCCTGAAACATTGTTGGAAGATGTACCACGGCAATCATACAGGCCATCTTTCTTGCAGCTGCACAATTTTATTCCACGCGTATTCTTGGGCTGCAGCAAATGAAATTGAGGACAAATTCTAATGCTGCAGCAACATCTTCCTTCATTGGAACAAGGACATCGATTGCGTAGCATTGAGACGTGTTGGGTTTAGGATGGCCTCTCGACACACCTGTAAGTATACCCTTAGAACGTAGAAATACACAGCCGAACCATCGGGGAATGATTTCTGACTTTAGTTTCTTTTATCCAAGAACCACCTTTTGATACCTGCCGATGTCACTATGGGGTGTAGCACTATGAGTCGTTTGTCAGACATGAAAAGCGGCCCACGTACTAATAACAGATTTATTTTTTTTCTTAACCTAACTTTATATTCAAAAGTTAAATTATTTATTTCAGTTTGTACCTGACGCTCGTTATAACTTTGGAGTTTCAACCTCAAAGCTATATTAGCCTAACTTAGCTCATATTATAACGTGGACTTGGACTTAAAAATTTAGACTTATATTCAAAGTCTCGAAAACTTAGCTCTACTAAGCTGAACACATAATAGACAACACAAAACACCAAATAAATGCTAGCTTGATTAATATGATAACTCTGAAACTCAAAATTAAATTAGCTCTAGTAAGCTAAACACATTTATATATAAATTAACGAATTCAGTAGAAAAAAACAGCCAAACAGAGTTAACCACGAATACTCCTATTTTGGTCTATGCCATTCCACTGAACCAGGTGTGATAGTGTGAGATGGTTCCTGGTGTGTGATACAGTTTAGCGCATGCGCAGTTGTAGGAGTCGGCTCACACACGGTGTGCATTGACTCCCCGTGATAGGATTTCCCCATAGATTTTCTTACGGTCAAATTGGTTTCCACACTATTATCTACAAATATTTACAGTTTTACCATCAGGAGAGGGTGTCGAGTTTCTATTGTTTGTTTATTTCGATAAAAAGTAGACATTCAAATTGACTAAGGCGCGGATTAACCAATAAAGTGAGCCGTAACCGCTGACTGTCATATTTCACGCTTAAGTCACGTGACCCGAAACCCCTAATTTAAATAATAAAACAGATAGGCTATATTGTGAAGTTGTAAAAGTTTTAATAAGAAGTACAAAATTAAAATAATAATACAGAGAAATCCCAATCATATAAAGGCCAATATTCAATCTGCATAATAGTTAATTATTAAAACATAGTTAAAATATCAAAAAGTGTAACGACTAGTTATTATTCCTTAGTTATATTTTTAAAAAAATGGTTAGGATGTGTCTTTAAATGTCATTCTGACATTCCACATTAATGACAGCTTTACATTGTGATTGCATATACTGTATTTTAAATAGTATGATTAACAGGAACAACAAATGCAAGAGTTTCTTGATTACAGTTTTATATTAAGCTCCGATACATAGCATACAAGCACACATTAAAATAAATTACAATAAAGTCATTCTCTACATATTGGTCAAATATGACGTAATTAATTATAACGATTGGTGAATTACCCTAATGACGTCAAAACCTACGCTTATATGGACAGTGGAAACTTACCACCAGAAATGTCACACGTTATATTTTGTTATTAACCTTGAATTAAATTTTTACCAAATTATGACTCTTTTTTTTATGGGACATCTAGAGAATAAGCCCAAATATGACATGATTAGAGAAATACAAGTAATTCTGTGTGCGATTCTGTTACCCCTAGCCAATAAAATAAATATACAAAACACCTCCTAGAATAACAAATCAAAATAAAACAATGTTGCCCATACAATTTTACTTCGTATGATACCAAATATAGCTGTATATTTTGAAAGGTTAGGATTATTTTAGAGACGTGATGGGGCGGGGGGAGTCGACACGCCAAATATTGGGAAAAGTCAGTTTTTCTAACCGTTAGATCTATTTAATAGTTTTATAAATAATTCTGAACATATTACAACATAAAGTAAAACACATTTAAATAGTATTTGATACGAAACAGTTAGTAATATACATGTACAAACATTTGAAATGGTATTGGTAACTTTAGCAATTGGTTAGAAAAAATAACATCATCAGTGACTATATTCAACATCTAATTTGTAAGAAAACAAGTACCACGGTCATCTTGTAAGTGTGATGTCATATCACAAATAGGTGCGCGATTGTCCAAGGAAGAAGCAGACCAAGTGTCATGTCCATCGACAGCCCGAAGACCAACAACAAGAACTATATGATGAAGTTGTTGGGGAACAGTTCCTTGCCCGAAAAACATCACAAGTGATTAGGTTCAATACACAGTGTGTGGATGGAACTGGATATAAACCAATCCTATTAAAATACAGATCTATAATTCTTTTCTTTTATCATACTTGCGATGATGGCCTCCACTACCTAGTGTAGTGCAGGCAAGTAAAACGAAATTTTGAACTATAAAAAACGACACGAAATAGAATCTGTGTTTTATATAAAATTGACATTACATATTTAACATTATAAGAATACGATAATTTACCTGTACAAAGGAAAACCAGATGTGTGACTTTGATTTAAGGAGGGGGTGGGGGTATACATTCCTGAAAAGGAACCGAAAAGATATAATAGCAGCGCCCTATGTACATACTAATTTTAGCATAACACACCGTTAAAATACTTATTCTCTCGATTTCTTAACAAATTCAATGTATCGTATCGCATCTTCATCTATTGTGCCTGTTGGTTCACCTTGGCCTGTTGTGTTTTCAAAATGGACAGTTGGTTGATGTTTGTTGATGTTTCTCTTTCGTCTTATAAACCTGAAAAATAAAATAGTGCTTTTTTCAATAATATTTATTTCACAGAAGATGATTGGGCATAGAATAGGCCTATTATTACCCCTCGCCTACGCCATAAAACACATATACACAGACTTATATAACGAATTCACGAAAATATGGTTATGGATAATGTATCAAGTAGTTGTCATGCAATTTACGCCTACAGTTTGCAAGAGATGGACGACGAACAAGCTACAGG